CAGACACTCCCACGAATGCATCTGCAGGCTGTGTGCTAGCCAATAAGATAAAATAAAATAAAATAAAAAATAAAAATTTAATACAATAAAAAAAACATTCACATATAAATACAAATTAAATAAAAATAAATAAATAAAACAAAATATAAAATAAAATTAATAAAAATTAATAAAATAAACAATTCAATCAAATTCAATCAATTTCTATAATAAATAAAATATATTGCATAACTAATAGAATATAAATAAATACGAAATAAAAATTACATTTAGAAAAACAAATAGAGAAAATAAATAAATAAAAATAATAAATAAAATACATACAAATAATTAAATAAATAATTAATAAAATTATCAAATTAAATAATAATAATAATAAAATAAATTTAAATTAAATTTTAAAAAACTACACATAAATACAAATTAAAAACAACAAAAGCAAAATAGATAATAAAAATAAAATAATAAATTAAAAGTAATAAATTAAACAATTAAATCAAAATTAATCAATTTCTATAATAAATAAAATATATTACATAATTAATAAAATATAAATAAATAAGCTATAAAAATTCAATTAAAAAAATAAATAAACAGAAAATAAAAAATACAAAAATAATAAATAAAACACAAAAAAATAATTAAATCAAATCAAATTAAATAATAAAATCAAATAATAAACAATGGTAGTGTCTAAACAAAAAAGAAAGTTAGCAGCTAAGTAGTAGTTAGCAGTAGTTTTAAATTACTTCCAAATAAATGCAGCAGTGTGTTGGGAGACGAATGCTCTCTTCAGGTCATTTTCATTGCTCTTCTGTGGCACGAACCCACACTTCCTTCAGCTCGTCTCAAGGTTGTGTGGTTTTCCGCGGGTTTTTGCGCAGCAGCTGCGAGGGTTCATCCTCCTGGCCTCCGCCACGGCTCCAGTGACCCGCTCTGGCTTTCTCTCTCGCGCCGCAGGAGCTGCGATCACAGGCGCCAAGTGCATTTACATTCCACCTCATTCCTCCGGGGCTTTGCCAGCACATAAATTACAGCTCTTCTCAGCTCTCCACCAGCGCTAATTAGCACGGAGTTAATCAAGCATGAGTCAAGCAGCCCGTCTGACGCTTTTCCACCTATTAGAGCTGGAGGACGCACGCGCTTTATTAGGAAAAGCTCAGCCAAAAAGAAGAAATTCTGAAGAAATGCATTTCTCTCCTCAAATCCTTGTGCATTTTTTTTTTTTTTTTGCATCTGCGCTTTAAAATGTTATTTTCTTAAAACCAGATAACTGTTTAGCATTTTCTGAATTTAGTAATTAAGAAAATGACTGAAATTTTAGTAAATGCAATCTGATTAAATATGCATGTGGCGTTTTCTGCGTTGCACAGATAATTGATCTTTAATAATGAGCTGAAGGACAGGTTGGTGTCTGTGTGCATCTGGTAAAGGCTAAGCAAGATCTTAATTCATAAGTAATGAGTAAAATAATACAATAGGTACTAATTACTATTGTTGAAAGCATAATTATTTCACTCATTACTTGTGAATTATGACCTTGCTTAGCCTTTACCAGACGCACACAGTTTTTGTTTTCTGTTTGAAATAAGATTATTTTGCTTGTTCTAAGCAAAAACTCACTTAATTTTGACTTGTTTTTTCTGCAACTGTTAGCATTAGTATTTATGGAAGCTTCTATAAGTCATGGAATAAAAATATAAAACAGGTAACCACGACTTCTAATCTCAATTCTCTCAATTGCAAGTTTCATATCTTGCATTTCCAATTTACTCAATTCTACGTTTACATCTCGCAATTCTGACTTTTTTCGAGTTTTGCGTTCACAACTCGCAATTCTCACTTTTTCGTAGTTTTGTATCTAGCAATTCAGATTTTTTTCCGTTGCATTTTGCATTTCCATCTCGCAATTCTGACCTTTTTCTTAGTTTCGCATTTACATCTCGCAATCAAAACACTGGGGGAAAAAATCTGAATGGCGAGATAGTCGTAATTACCTTATTCACATTATATTCTGTGGTTGAAACAAGCTTCCATAAGCATTTCTACACATACAACTCATTTGTAATCTCCACTCGTCCTCTGCCGAGGAGCCACATCAGCATTGATCAGGCAGTGTTGGGACGCGCACGAGTCGATCAGAAAAGCTGAGTGCTCCTGTATCGTCTGCGTTTGAAGAGCACGTTATCTGCTGAATACAGCATTACTGAGCCCAACACAATGAACCAGATCAATAAAGACAACTCCACATGATGTCCTGTAATCAGCCAAAACTTAACAACTGAAGATGTATTAGCTAATAAGATGTGGCTGCAGAATTGAGCACTTTGTAGTTGCACCAGTCTAAATCCCGACCATAATTATTGGTGCAATTATCTCCAGCTAATTCATCAACAGGTAATACATCAGTGAGTGAACAAACACAGTACACAACGTCTGCTGACCATATATAAACACTACAAAACGTTCAAAAGTTTAGGGTCAGATTTTTCTTTTTTTTTGGAAAGAAATTAATATTTTATTAATTAGTGACGCATTACATTAATGCCGGTAAAGACATTTATAATGTTACAAAAGATAAATATTTCAAATAAATGCTGTTCTTTTGAAAAATATTGTGCAGCATGACTGTTTTCAACATTGATAATAATCAGAAATGTTTCTCGAGCAGCAGATCAGCATATTATACTGATTTCTGAAGATCATGTGACACTGAAGACTGGAGTAATGATGCTGAAAATACAGCTGTGCATCACAGAAATACATTACAGTTTAACAGATATTCACAGAGAGACGGACGAGAAGAGCGAGGCGAGAGTCGAGAAGAGCGAGGCGAGACAGACGAGAAGAGCGAGACGAGAAGAGGCGAGACGGACGAGAAGAGCGAG